TTCAATTCAGCCACCTCCCAAAAAGCACATGAGGTTTTGGAGAGACTTATAAATATGAGCCCTAACAGTTGCTAAAGAATAATTAGAATCTCAATAAGATACTTGTCATATGCATTAAACTAGCAAAATTTGAAAAGATCAAAAACTTCAGCACTGGCAAGGATGTGGAGCCCCTGACATTCTCACACGCACTGCAGCATGACAGCGTGGTGACACAGGTACAGCGATAGCTACTGAAGTTAAACGGGACTCAGCAGTGAACTCCACTCCTCGGAGTCCCCTAGGTGTCCACAGAAAAGCACACATGTGCACCAACGGACAGGTAAACAAATAGCCACAGCACCATTATTTGGGAAAAAACCCAAATGTCCACCATCAAAAGGATAGGAAATTAAATTGTAGGATACCAGTCCTCCATGTAATGGCCTGCATTTACCATTCTCATCCTCTGCCTCCCTCTTATAAAGACTGCTGTGACTGATTACATCGGCCCCACCTGCAGGATAGAGGTTACTCTCCCCTTTGATTGTCCTAATCGTGAAACCCCTTTTGCCAAGTAAGGTAACATACTCACAGGTTCAAGGGTTTCAGATGTGGGTGTCTTTTATCCAGCCTCTCACAACAGCAAACAATTATAATCCAAATGAGTCTCCATCAATACAGGACTGGTTAAAAAATGATAAATTCATACAATAGAACACAGTTATTTGAAGAGTGAGGAGGTTCAATATGTACTAAACAGAAAGATCTAAACAATACAGTGTGAGGAGAAAAAAGCAAAGTAATGGACAGAAAAAGAAGGAATGCAGTGTATATAATTCACTGCTGACTCACTGGGAAAATGTCAAGCAAAAGAACCTGAACATACACACACACACAAACACACACACAAAATACACACTATGGCTGGGCATGGTGGCGCACGCCTGTAATCCCCGTACTTGGGAGGCTGAGGCAGGAGGATCACTACAAGTTCGAGACCAGCCTGGGCTACATAGTGAGTTCCATGTCAGTTTCAACTATATAGTGAGACCCTGTCTCAAAACAACAACAACAACAAAAAAAAAAATACACACTATGGCTGGGCATGGTGGCGCACGCCTGTAATCCCCGTACTTGGGAGGCTGAGGCAGGAGGATCACTACAAGTTCGAGACCAGCCTGGGCTACATAGTGAGTTCCATGTCAGTTTCAACTATATAGTGAGACCCTGTCTCAAAACAACAACAACAACAAAAAAAAAAATACACACTATGTCACTCTGTTTACATAAAGTACAAAAAAATGTGAAGCTAGCCCATTCTGATAGAACTCCCACTTGTAGTTATTTTGATGTGGGCCATACCTAGAAAGGTAGATCTCTGAGTTACAAGGCATGTTCTATATATTTATCAAGGTTGTGACAACCTGGATGTGTTCGCTTTACAAATATTCAGACTATACACTTAAGATTTGTACATTCTACTGTATGCATGGACTTTACGTCAAAATTAATATTGATTGCCAAGGAAGGAATGATATATTCAACTAGCAACGCTATTCTCAACTTGGGGTGATTTACTTTACTAGAGAATGAAAATACTTGCACAATCTTGAATAAGCTAATTAACCTGTTTGTTTCTCTCAAATGGACAAGATCTATAAGGTTATTTAAAAAAAAACTTCTGTGGTTTTTTCATTCATTCATTCACTCAGACTAACATAAATGAAGGCAGTTACTAGAGCCAGAAAGATGAAGATCTCAACTCGTCTCAGGGAAATTTCTCATGAGAGAGCTGAGCATGTATATTAACTACAGCATGTCAGCATAACAAAAGCATTCATAAAATGCAGACACTGTACTGAGGCAAGAGGAAGTCACTCTGCTTTGGGAGCCGGGAAGGTGGGAAGGTAAGTAGACGTACAAAGTTCTTAAGGGTGTGATGTCTAGGAGAGCATCAAGAGGATCCCTAGGGTCCCAAAGGTAAACATCAACAGTTTTGGCCCTGGTTTGCTACCAACCCTGTGAGAACACACACACACACTGTACAATGTCTGTGCGAGTTGTTTACTTTGCACCACCTTCTGAATTTAATGAGTCATCCAGGCCACTCTCTGATGAGGCTGGTAGACACAAGCCCCTCCTTGAATCTGGTTGGCTGGTGCCGATCAGACAAGTTGTAACAGTGCTTCCTCAGCACTGCAAGACAGGTATGCAAATCAAGTTAGCAGGAATAGACGCCATCTGGGTACAATGCTGATTGAATGTGAGCTTCCAGACCTACAGCTCCAACTGCAGGAACATTTTCTCCCTTTCTATGACTAAGTGAGCATCCTGAGGTCAGGATCACGATGATTTTTAGAGCTTGGATGGGGATTTAAAAATAGGACTGCTTAAAATTGCTAAAATGTTTTAAATATGATTTATTTGTGTTTGTTTATGATAAGATTTGAATTATAATCTGATAGAATTAATATTCTTGTAGGGCCTAAGACTACTTGAGAAAAACGTGCTGCACAGATTTGTTAAACGATTTCTGGGCTTAAGTAAGAAATTACTTTTAAATCCCTACCAGTCTCCCAGATAATTAATCAGTCAGTACTTCATGGCGGTGCAACGATGTTGTTAGGTTTTAAGACCCGGTGGCCCTTTTGTCCAACATATAATGTTACTTGCCTATTTCCTTAATCTTACTGGATAAAAGGAGACTCTTAAAACATCTCATTTAGATTAGGAAAGAAAATGGAACAGCACATTTGTAATCGACCTGCCGTTTATAGGCACCTGATCTAAATGAACTTTACCCAAAGCATACTCCGTAAGAGGCACTTCAAATGTCACTGTGCAGAGTCCCTTCCGTTGTAAAGTAAAATGGTTTTCTGTTTATAAATACACCACAATACACTTAAGGAAATAAAACTAGGTACCTAGCTGTTAACAGCAATGTCATCCATTCAATAAAAGTTTGCTTAGGCCATACTTCCTGTTGGCACTGGGGACAACCTGATAAACCAAGGCAGACAAAGGCAATGCCCTCTTCCATGCTATTCTAGTCTAGTGGACAACATCACTTTCTAAACATTCACAAAAGAGTTGCAAATCATGATTAATTAATTACAAATTGTGATTTGGGCTATGAATCAAGAAGGGGAGAAATAGGAGTAATGTCAGGGAGAGGGCAATGTCTACGTTAGGGAGTCAGAGAAGGACTCCACAAGGAAGTGACATTTAAGCAAAGACTGAAGGGCATTAGAAGCCAGAGCCTGCAGAGCAGAAGGGAATACATAATATTCCTGGCAGAAGGAAAAGCTTGTACAAAGAAGCAGAATCCTAAAGAAATCTGAGTATGTTGAGGACTAAAAGAAGCATAATATATCTAGGATCCAAAGTGTTACAAGTTTCAAGACGTATCTACACTAGGAGAAAAATCAGATGGCTTTTGGGCAGGGGAGAGCCAAGATCTGGTATCTATTTTGGAAAGGTTGCACTGGCTTCCAGATGGAGCATAAGTGGGGAAGGGGAGAGGAATAGAAATCAGTGGAGCCTACAATCATGGTAAGTGAGATGTCTTAGAAAACCACTGGTTCCTACAAGGGAAGGGAAGAAGATGTGTGTTTGTGGTAGCCTTTGGAGATGGAATGAACAGATGTGCTGGTAGAAGTACTGTGTGTGAGGGGTGTTGGGTGAGCAACAGGAGTCAGGGATGACTCAGATTTCAGGCTGGAATTGGGAAGGTGGGGAATGCTAGTGGAGGAACAGGTTTGAAGAGAGAAGTCAATTCCTATAAATGCCTGTTTCAGACCTTTATTTACAGGAATAATATAGATCTCTATTTAACATTTCTTTTAAAATGTTGATGTGTAACCCAGGGTGTGGTGGTGCACACCTATAATCCCAGCCCCCCGGAAGGTTGAGGCTGTAGGATTGCCAAGAGTTTGAGGGCAGCCTAGGCTACACAGTGAGTTTGAAGCCAGGCTGAACTACATAGTAAGACCCTCTCTCAAAAAATACAAGGAAAAAAAAAGTTGATATTCAGCAGGAAACTACAGCCAGGCCTGAATTTAGGCGCCTGCGCGCGCACACGTGTGTGTGTGTGTGTGTGTGTGTGTGTGTGTGTGATTGATATGTTAAAAAGAAAATTAAACACTGTATTTATAATACCTGACATACAATGAGAACACCATATGTACAGTATTTGTAATTGACCTGAAAAAATTAGGGAGCAGAAGCTGGGAGGTTTATCTCAATGTTGCATTTGATAAATACAGTTTTAACTAAGATCCTGTTTCCTTAGGTTTGTTGGTTACTTGGATTGTGTTTGTTTAGATTTGGACTGAAGACCTCCCAAACCACCCACTGGTTTCATCACTGAGAAATTAGGTAAGAGAAGAACTGTTGAATTTACATATTTTTTTCAAAAGCAAAATAATTTCTTATTTCATACATTGGTTATCTTTCCAATAGTGAAGTAAGTTCAGGAAAGAAAGAAAAATGTAAATGTGCAAACACCCATACCACTCTGAACAGTCCAAGGTTGTGAACTTATTTAATTTCCTCTAAGGAATCATTTCTTGGTTCACTGACTTATTATTCTGTGAAGCAGTGGTAGCCCCTGTCATCCTTTGTTTATTGCCAGAGTATGATCCAGCTGTGGGGTTTGGGAGTTTGTTTATTGGATTTTAATGACACAGTTAACAAAGATCATTCCTAAAAGTAATAGAAAACTAAGTGTGTGGAAATAAAATGGATACAAGAGGCTTGAGGGTTATTTCTACTTATTCTTTAGTGTTGTTTTAGACATATGTTTAATTCTTAAAGGCAATTAAGAAGGATCTTTCCTCTTCATCAATTTACTGATGCTATATTTACTCTTCTAAAATGTTATATGAACCCTTCAATAACAAAAGGTGCCATGTAATTACCAGATATAAAATATGTTCCATAATATTAGTGTAACTATATAATGTTAATATAATATTCACAACAGTATAATTGTAACTATGTGTAATTAATTATGATACCTGCTAATATCATATCCATAGTGCTTCCATTATCTTTGAGGGAAGGAAATAACTTCAGTCTTGGGTAGAATCTAGTTAGATATAAATCTTGGAGTTAAAAAAATGTTTAGAGATAATTTATTCTTATCCTTTTAAATATTTACCAAATCACTTAAGATTAGTAAATTATTTAGTAAATATTTATCCAAAATGATGCTTAGTAGACTGTGAAATAATTTTCTAAGGTAAATGGTAATTGAATTTATTTAAAATTAAATTATTAAAAAATATTTAAGAATATGTGAAAAGGAATAAATCTACTTGTTTCCCAGGTGTAAATTGCTTTAAAAATATTTTCCACGTCAAAATCCAATGAACTGATATACAAATGTACATAGAGTTCACACAGTTAATACATTTCTTATACTGTTTTATAAAACCTTCCTGATCTGGCACCTGTTGACTTTTACAATCTCACCCCTCCCCACACAACATCTTTTTCTCCTCTTCTCTCCCTCTCCTGTTACCAACAGCTTTACTAATCTTCCTGCTCTTGATCCTAGAACCGTGCCGCTCCCTTAGGTCTGGAGACCTATGCACCAGAATTTCCTCTAAAAATTATTTTCCCTTATTCTTTGCCAGGCAATTCTGCAGATCTAGCTGCTCCTGGAAAACTTTTGTTCACCTCTTCTTCCCTAGGCTCAGACTCAGTTTGCAGTAATTCTTGAGAAAGCCTCTGCTTAGCCTACTGGGATAGATGAAACTAACATTGTTCTAGTCATCATTCCATCCCCAAGCCCGAGAACAGAGCTGCAACCTATGAAGCACAATGAATGAATGAATATATTAAAGATTCTGAATTTTAAAAATGATTCTGAATTTATAGTTTACACCTTTGAACACAAATCTGCAGAAATAAAGGTGCCATTTTTAAAAAATACTTTTCACTTCAAACTATTTCTTCTTTCTGGAGAAAACATATACAACCTGACAGTTTGCCATTAGACCAAAAAAAAAAAAATAGCATTCTTGTATGCTAAATTTCTTTCACTAGATTAGGCAAAAGTTGTAGAATCAAAAGAGTTATAAATGCATACAATGAAACTGTATAAAAATCCTACCAGCCCAAGCAACCATAATTCCCAACTTGGAAGTTCTCTTCTCAGCAAATAACTTAAAGGAAAAATTCTTTAAATTTTCTATGTTGAATGTCGTGCTCTATAAATGCCATTCCTCCCAGAGAAACTTGGATTTAGCCTGAGTATTTTATTTCTGAAATTGTGCAAGAGGAGCCGGCTAGGTTTTAAGAATCAAACTGTATCCTCTTTTAAACTTTGAAGATCATTCAAGTCTCTATTCAAAACAGTCCTTACTTTAAGAACAAAAAGGGACAATAAAACAACATAGGCGATGAGTAAAGAAAGACCTGGAACAAAGCCCCTGGAAAGGTTGGGGAAATCAATAAACCAGTAAGTTACAAGTCTTATTAGATCTGATAAGTAAACTGTACCTCTTTGGACATACATCAAAAATAACGTGGGAAAACAGAAAGAATTAGTAAAACAAAAATTGGGGGGCGTATCTTATCTCACATACGTTAACAATAATTAAATGAAGGTAAAAATAAAGTAAATATACTTGGACAAAGCTCACCCCGCCTTTATATTACTGACTATTGAGAGGTTGAGGCAAATAGCGTCTCATCAATTCAAAACCCAGCTTTGTCCCATGCTTAATTGCTTGCATTTTAGAAGCAAGATGGGATATTTACAGTTAACTGAAATAATGATAGTGGTGGTTAGAGGCGCTCAGCCTCTCGACCTTCAGGCTCCCACACTGGAGACTCTCTGGGTCCAGTGGACAGCAGGGTTTAGTCCCCTTGTCCTCCCTCCCGCAGAGAAACGCACGAGCGGAGACTCTAACTGCACGTCCCTGTCATATACGGTAAAGCCTGTAGGACTGGGTAGGGCCCTTCTGGTTCCCGGAGGTCGCGGCCCGCCCTAGTCCAGCAGCCCTTACTCTGGGGCTCCATGCTCAGGTGCTCCCGGGCCCCGCCGGCCAAGCCCCGGCTGCCGCGCTCCTTACACCTCTGTCCACTGCAGGCGTCGCTCGAGTTGCCCAGGCAACCAGGGAGTCGGGGAGGAGGGGCCAGAAGGACGGCAAGAGGGAGGGACCAAAAGCCGCAAAGAAAAGCAAGCGAGCGCGAGAGCCCGCGCGTCGCTGGGTCACAGAGCGAAGGTGGTGGCCGAGTGGCCTGAGGACGATACGGCCTCGGAGGCCTAGTCGTGCACTTGGGTCTCCCAGGAAGCCCTCTGGATTGGGCGCTGCGGGCCCCACCTTCGCAGTCCCGAGGCATTTGTTGGGACCTCCCGAGCGTCGAACGACCCGCGGGGCCTGGCCGCGCCCGGGACTCTGCGGCCGGCGCTGCAG